CCGGCCATTTAGGGGATTTTGGGCTTTAATGAATCTTCATTCATTAAATTGTCATACAACTTAAGTTAATGGGCTTGACGTTCGAAGCCCATTGGGCCTTAAGGTCCAAAACTATCCCGAAGTCTTTAACGAACTTATTCGTTTGATTAATTAACATATTAATTAATCCTTGCCATAAATAAATGATTAAACCATTTAATCATTCTTACTCATTTCCGTTTAATCTTCAATCTCCACCTTTTATGGTGTGCGATCCATTAGGTTCCTTTTAGCGAGGCAGTGGGGCGATTAAAACCATTTTACATCGATTGTGAATTGAAACAATTTTCAATTCTCCCTTTAGTGGTTATACACGTATAGGGCTTCCACAAACCATGGTTGACGCCTAGCAGCATGTCATGGTTACCCAAGCTAATCAGAAGAGGATAGAGAACCTATTCAGTTCGGGATTACAAATGCAATACGGTCTTTCTCTAATCTAATACTCTTGACCACATTGTTTGGTATGATAGTTTATTTGTTCATGTCTACTATCCAATGTGAATCGTTTGCTTATATGATTTCCTTGAATGTGATTTGGAACACATTCCACAATCTCATTCATACTCTGGCCAGAGATTCCAAATCATATCATAGAGTATTCTCCCTCAACTGTTTGAAGGTTAGAGATCCCTTGTTGCGCATTCACTTGTCTCCATGACTAAGTGGCTTAACCCCAACGATGCCGTGGACACCCCGAGGGGGTGAATTAGACATAATCAAAGATTAAGGACTTAACCACAAGACAACTGTGATGCCTCAGGTCAAAGGACTACTTTGCATTATCCCAACCATGAGTTTCTCATGTGACATGGAATATAAGAACTCTTCGTTGATCACGTTCAGTGAACTCATTCGCTATTGAGCACCTACGTACTTGTCTTGATGTCACACACACCAATGACTCGAGACTAGTCACTCTCCCTGAGAGAAGACACAGTACGTACTGATCTTAACGGACTGTCAATGCCCAATTGGCAATCCTATGATCAGGAACATTTAGGATGTGTCTACGAAAGAATGGTCTCATTAATCTAACTTCATTAGATTGCATTCTCCCAATCACATATTCCTTGGACTTTATCGTTTAAGCATATAACATTTATATGAGACGGCTCAAACAATAATCTTTGCCCTTTATATGTAAACTAGATTAGTTTAACATGTGAAATGTCCGTAAAGTATCATCATATGATTGGCTTTAGAGCACATTTCCAACAAATCCAACTAAGGTAAATTATACTAATTTATACTTGCTGACAAACAAATTAAGTCTATAGTAATTTTAGGTCAGTCACCTTAAGAAGTCGAAGATGAAAAAATCAACTACAAAAACAATAGGTTAAAAAAATTAAATAATAACCCTTAATATATATATATATATATATATATATATATATATATCACAAAAAAAAAAGTATAACAACTCCTTATTGTCTATATATAGGAATTGCATAAGTGTCGGTACATATGTGTAGGTACATACATGCACATAGGTACGGAAGTATCGGTATGGAAGTGCCGGTACATACGTACACATAGGTACATACATACATATAGGTACGAAAATATTGATACATTAGCATCGGTACGAAAGTATCGGTGCGGAAGTGTCGATACTTATGTACAAATATATAGGTACGCAAATATTGATACATAAACATATCAAAAGAAAAAATTGGTAGATTCGATGTATGAGAAGGTAAAAATAAATCATCAACACTAGAAAAAAATGATAAAAGTAAATCATGCACTATTAGATGCTTAAGAAGAAGAAATATTAGATGTGGATGGTGGCCCTAGCCCTTTCTTCTTACACGGTTGAAGATAATTTTTTTGGGTTGGACAAAAAGTTTCATTTTTAAGGAGAATCATTTATGTTAGCAATAAAAATGAAAAGTTATAAATAAAATAAATATAAGACATTATAATTCACTCAAGGATAATATAGGAAGAAAAAAAATTACATAAAAGGAATTAACTCTGACATTAAATATAAATGCTGACTTGGACATAAGTCAAAGGACTATAATTAGTTTTTTATCTTGGTTAAAGTTTTAATCTAAAGATAATCTTTTTCAAGGATTAATATCTAGTTTCCAATTTTTTTTGGGGTTTTTGAACTTTAATCCTTCAAGAAGATTAAAATTTAAAAAAAACCTGGTGTTAGATTAAATATTGATTTTAGTCCCTAATGTGTCCTTAATTCAAAATAATTAATGTGCATTTTATTTAATGTCTCCCATTAAATATTTAAATTTATTAATACACAAAATTTTATTTATTTTTTGACCAAAAAGAGTTTTTTAATTTATTAATTTTATTTAACATTCTTCAAATTTGAAAGACTCAATTAATGTACCTAAATGTTAGTACCGAAATGTATGTACCTAAATATATGCACCAAAATGTATTAATATTAAATTAATGTACCTAAATGTGTGTACCGAAATGTTAGTACCGAAATGTATTATATTGAATTAATGTACCTAAATGTTTGTATCGAAATGTATGTACCGAAATGTGTGTACCTAAATGTATGCACTGAAATATATTATAATGAATTTAATATACCTAAATGAAGAAGATAAAGTACATCAAAATATATTGTATAACAAAAATTAGTTTATCTAAATGTTCATAACAAAATATATTACGATGAATGAAATGAAAATAAAAATTATAATGAAATAAAATTAATACATTAAAAATTAGAAAGAAAAAGATAAATAATTAAAAAATCAAAATATAATTAATAAATGAGGTTATTAATGTATCAAGGGACTAAAATTAGATTTTGATCTTACTCATGGTTTTAATCAAAAAGTCATCTTTGCCAAGGATTAAAATGAAGTTTTCTAATTTTTTTTTTATCAATCAGATTTCGTTTGAATATGGTGGCTTTTATGTTGGTGCCGATGATTCACATATATATGTGCTGCACTGACGTATTTGGTTGAATATGGTGGCTTCATTGGTGCAGAGTCCTTATTGTGGAACTTAGGAGGCAAATGTCCAAGGCAATAGATGTTAGCTCACATCAATTTCCGAAGCATATTTGTCATGATGATGCTCCTCTAAAGGAAGATGATGGAACCCCGGGATGATACAGTTCTTTGTCATACGGGCGTGGTTTGAATACGGTGGCCTGCTATCTCATCGTCTTTCAATGCCTTTATCATCTTGAAGTTGGTCTATCTATGTTTTTCTTTACTAGTGCGAACTGGTAATAGATCTTTAGTGGATTACTGCATATTACATTCTCTCTTATCATCATTCTTCGCACAAGAATTGAGAATATATACCTTAGATAATTGATGATTCTAATTTGAATATAACTTCGGAAATATATATTCATACATACGAAAGGTGCAAGTTATTTCTTCGGGACCAGACTGCATGCCATCGGAACTTCGAAGTTAAGCAAGTAGCGCGCGAGAGCAATCCCATGATGGGTGATCCATTGGGAAGTTGCTCGTAAGTTTCCAAAAATAAAACCGTGAGAGAATGGTAAGCCCAAAGCGGACAATATAGTGCTACGGTGGTGGAGCGGGCCGGGAAGTGGTCCGCCCCGAACCGGGATGTGACACAACGCCTTGAGAATTGCCATTAATATCGGTTTCTTTTTGGTTTGTTTTTTACTGGATTTCCAATAACACATTATTTTGCTGGTAACATCCAATAACACGTTATTGAGTAACTATGAAATTGGCACTGAGTTGTGATACGTTTCGTTCTTTGTTCGGGATTTAATTTAATTGCATGTATTCTCGTTGAGCAAGGTTTTAACGAGGTCACTCTTTCACTAACACCATAGTTGTATTTTAATTATGTCTGTCTCATGATAAAAAATAAAATAAAAAACAATTGTTGTTCATGTGTGTTGTACAAATTATGCGTCACTGGGATCCCATGTTAGCACATAGAAAGTTTCACGAGTTGTCCCAAAAAACCTTTAGTAAAAGCAGAGGAATATTCAAAGGTTGATTACAAGAGACTGATCAAAGACTAATTACAGACCAATCTCAAGTTTTATTTTGGTCAATTGACCAATCACAAAGGAGTCTAATAAGCTAGCTGCCACATTATATGATTTTTTCAAAAGTGAGACTTTTTATAAACGAAAAAGGATCTTCGATGGATCTTTTTTCTGAGGATCCTAGGAATTTCGTGATCATGATCGTTTATCGTACATCGTGCAATCAGAAATTATTTCAAAAATTAAAATTTAAAGTTTGTTTATACATCTTGTGTCATTTACATTTCTTGCAGATTCACGGTCGGATTTACGTTGTTCCAAGACCTTCGGTTTTGTGCATCAACAAAGTTAAATATAAATAATACCTAACGAAAACTGACCGCACGATGTACGATGAACAATCACAATCGCAAAATCCCTAGGATCCTTAGGAAAATGATTTGGGAGGATCCCAGGAAAATGTTTTGTCTTTATACAGTTTCTATATTTTAGGAATTCACTTTCCGATCCATTAAATATTCATTTTGTCTTTGTATTTATTTATAATTATTTTATACTACGGTTGTTTCTATTTAAGTAATCCACGTTCTAAATTTGTCTTTTGATACAAAATAAAATAAAAAACAGTTGTCCATGTGCACTGTACAAGTAATGTGTCGCTGTAGCTGGACGGCATCCCCATGTGAGCACGGCCAATCACAAGCTTCATTTTCTTCCGCTTTGAATCAACGACAAGGATGTTGTGGGCCGCAGGCTCCACACAGAAAGTTCTGAATCACAAGTTCATTCTTGGTCAATTGAGCAATCAGTTCATTGCAAACTGGGGGATGCATCCATAATTACAGTCTCAAAAGCCTTTCATTCTACATTGAGCTATTAGCAAACTTAGCAACCAAGAGAAAACCAAGAGAAAAATGGCTGGCGCTTTGATTGGAGAGGCTTTTCTCTCCGCTTCTATCCAGGTGCTGTGTGACCGAATTGCTTCAACCGAGTTTGGTGACTTGTTCCTGCAGAAGAAGCTGGACGAACCCCTCCTCGAGAAACTGAAGGTGACGCTGCCCGCCCTTTGTGCAGTCCTCAATGATGCAGAAGAGAAGCAAATTTCAAACCTTGCTATGAGAAAATGGCTTGACGGGCTCAAGCATGCTGTCTTGGACGCGGAGGACTTGCTGGATGAGATCGACACTGAAGCTTTGCGATGCAAGGTGGAAGGTGAAGGTCAAACCGACAAATTAACCGACAAGGTGTGGAACTTCTTCTCTACTTCTCCTACTCATTTTTATCAACGCATGAATGTTGAGATACAAGGGTTATTACAAAGGCTGGATGGCTTTGTGCAACAGAAGGTTGCCCTTGGTCTGACGGGAGATGTTGCGAGGAAGGGTTCACAAAGAACTCCAACAACTTCCTTGATTCATGAACCTTGTGTATATGGAAGAGACGGAGATAAAGAAAATTTATCAAAAGTCTTGTTCTCTGATGATGCAAGCGAGGATGATGTATCTATCATCACCATTGTTGGTATGGGCGGGGTTGGCAAGACGACCCTTGCTCGAGCCCTTTACAATGATGATAAGGTGAAAGAGCACTTTGCCCTTAGATCTTGGGCTTGTGTTTCAGAAGATTATGATGCTATTAGGGTGACTAAAACTCTTCTCGAGTCGCTGACTTCAAAGCCTTCTAAGATGACAGATTTGAATTCGCTTCAAGTTGAACTTAGGGAACAATTGAGGGGAAAGAAATTCTTATTTGTATTGGATGACCTTTGGAGTGAGAAATATTCTGATTGGAGGTGCCTACAAACTCCTTTTACTTCCGGGGCAAGGGGAAGTAAAGTCATCGTGACAACACGAAGCGAAAATGTCGCATCTCTCATGAAAAATGTGCCCATTCAACACTTGAAACCTTTATCGCATGAAGATTGTTGGATGTTACTTGCAAAACATGCATTTGGACATGAAAACCACAATGCATATCCAACTTTGGAGGAAATTGGCAAGAAAATTGCAAGCAAGTGCAATGGTTTGCCTTTAGCAGCAGAGACACTCAGGGGTCTATTACGTTGCCAGAGAGACTTCAAGGAATGGAATAAATTATTAAATAGTAGGCTTTGGGAGCTACCTTATGATAAAAGTGATATCCTTCCAGCCCTACGGTTGAGCTATCATTATCTCCCTGCTCAGTTGAAACGATGCTTTGTGTATTGTTCACTATTTCCAAAAGACTATTTGTTCAAGAATGAAGATGTAGTTCTACTTTGGATGGCAGAAGGTTTAATTCCACATGATTTTAACGGGCAAAGAATGGAAGAGACGGCTAGAAGTTACTTCAATGAGCTAGTATCACGATCACTACTTCAAAAATCAAGGGAGCATGGTTTCACAATGCATGATCTTCTTAACGACTTGGGTCAGTTCATGTCTAGGGGATTTTTTCTCAGGTTGGAAGAGAAGGAATCACAAGAAGTTAAAAGACTTCGTCATTTGTCATATGCTAGGGGAGAAATTGATCCTGCTAAAAAATTTGAGCCCTTAAATGGGGCCAAGTGTCTGCGGACCTTCCTACCTACGTCTTTTGAAGCATATGGGACGATCTACATAAGTCAAAAGTTTCAACAAGATTTGTTGCCATCCCTGAAACGTTTACGGGTTTTATCATTGTCCTATTATGAAAATGTTGTTGAAGTACCTGATTCTGTGGGCAATTTCATTCACCTGCGCTACTTGGATCTCTCCCATACAGCAATTGTAAGCTTACCTGGTGCAGTTTGCACTCTCTACAATTTGCAGACGTTACTGCTGTCATATTGTTATGCTCTCATTGAACTGCCAGCAGACATGAGAAGATTGATAAATTTACGGACATTAACATTGGCAGGTTGCAGCTCCCTTACTAAATTACCTGTGGATATGAGGGAATTGAGTAGTTTGCAATACCTCGATGTCAGTAAAACAAACATACAAGGGATGCCAGTGGCAATTGGAAGACTAAAAAGTTTGAGAACATTAACTGCTTTCGTTGTGGGGAAATCTACCGGGTCTAGCATTGGAGAATTAAGGGAGTTACAGCATCTTCAAGGAAGACTTCATATTTCAAATCTGTACAATGTAGTTCAAGTTGTGGATGCATTGGAAGCCAACTTGAAGGATAAGAAAGAACTCAAGGACTTAGAGTTGGAATGGGGTAAGGAGGACGCCGATGATTCCCAAAAGGAGAGAGATGTGCTTGACAAGCTCCAACCTTGCGTAAATTTGGAGAAACTGACTATCAGATTCTATGGAGGAACCAGCTTCCCAAACTGGTTAGGAAGCTCTAATTCCTTCTATAACATACGGTTCATGTGGATCAGTGATTGTAAGTATTGTTTGTCCTTGCCAAGTTTTGGGCAGCTGCCCACTCTTAAAGAGCTACGTGTCGAAAGAATGAAATTTGTTAGGACGGTTGGTGTTGAATTCTATGGTGATCTTAATGGAGCTTCTGTAATTCAGCCCTTTCGGTCTCTGAAGACGCTAGAGTTTAAGGAGATGCCAGAGTGGGAGGATTGGTTACCGAGTCCAAGTGGAGGTCGATGTTCAGATTTTCCTTGTCTCGAGGTGCTGAGAATAAGTTACTGTAAGAAGCTGAGAGGATACTTGCCCAATCATCTTCCATGCTTGAAAACACTTAGCGTGTCTAGGTGTGGATATCTACATCTGCATGATGAATGGGCCAGTATTAACATGGACTACTTACAGAATTCATTGGAAATAGATATTGATGGATGCCCAGGTCTGTTACCATTAATAGAGAGAGTAGAGAAGAAGTTGTCTACACTTGGAATTTCCAATTCTGATGCAAAATTTTGGAGCCTGCCAAAAATGAAATATCTTCGAAGATTGACTTTCAGCTTTTGCCCAACTGTGGGGTCATTAGAGTTCTTATCTCATGAGATGATGGCCGAATTGACATCCCTTGAGGATTTGAAGATATACGATAGTTTTCATTCAGTGGGGTCCTTCCCGTTGGGCGTTTTCCCCAAACTTTCAACTCTTTTGATCCATGGCTGTGAGAATCTGGAATCCTTTTCTATTGAAGGAGTTGATCAGAACCTAAGCCATCTCATTCAGCTAGAAATCAACGACTGTCCAAATATGGCGTCTTTCCCGGACGAAGGATTGCCTACTCCCAACTTGAGAGAATTGAAGGTCTGGATGTGCAAGAATTTGAAGTCGTTCCCCGAACAAATTCGCACCCTCACCGCCCTAGAACGATTGGAATTATTCGATCTTCCAAATCTTGTATCATTTGCCCAAGGGGGTTTGCCTCCCAACCTGCGATATTTTACAATAGATTGCGACAAAGTGAAGCCTTCAGTGGAGTGGGGATTACAAGGACTTGCCTCCCTTCAAGAATTTACAATTGCTGGCGAGATCTCGGCACCGTTGCTCAAGGAACAGCTGCTCCCTACTTCTCTTCACCGGCTAACTATACATAATTGCCGAAGTCTGGAATTCCTGCCAGCAGAGGGACTTCAACACCTCACTTCTCTTCAATATCTAACTATTACTTTTTGCCCAAGTCTGGCCCTTCCAGCAGAGGGACTTCTACACCTCACCTCTCTTCAAAAGCTACGAATTCGTAGGTGTCCAAAACTCCAATTCCTGCCAGAAAACCGTTTGCCGCCCTCTCTTTCTTACCTGGTGATCTCCTCTTGTTCCACCCTGGAGAAGAGGTACGAGGATAAGACGGGAGAAGATTGGGCCAAGATATCTCACATTCCTTGCATACGGATAAACGACGAAGTCATCATATCCGTATGAGCTCTGTCTCTCTCATACAAAGTTGTGCTTTTCGGCATTTGACTCTCAGGTATTTTGCATCTAATTAACTTCAATAGTTTGAAAAATAAGACATAATAGAAATAAGAATCATAGCATATTGATTAATTTTTTCTTTGCAGCAAAGAAGACACATTATCCCTACGTCTTCAACATTTTCGGATGGTATGAAGAGGATCCATCCCATTTTCTTTGCCAAGTCTCGTTTGCTCTGAATTATTCTCTAGCCTTATCCCTGGCATCACTTATAGAATATACGAGAAAATAAGCCCGCACGTTGCTGCAGGACTTCAATGCACCCGTCTTAACTGCATGAAGACACATTTAACCTGAATAAATTCAGACACATGCACTGCACTCGTCTGTCAGAGAGATAAACAAAGATACAAAAAACAGAGAGGCAATGTCACTTTGTTTTGCATGATCTTGAAAATTGGGGATAAGGTATTCAAAGTGCTAACAAAGACGTGCAAATGGTATTGAAATGCTAAAATGGGCATTTTGAATAGTTATATGATGCGGCAACAAAAACACAATTGACTTTCAAACTACAGAAATAAATGATAAAAACCATATACTTGTACCCAATGCATTGTCTTTTTTTTTTCTATGCAGTATAAGAAAAAAACAGGATAACATTCCCCTGAAACCAAATTCATCCCCCAATTTCTTGCAACAAATTTCAGTAATTACGAATGCAACTAAATCTTAAATAAATAGAGCTGTTCAATTATATTAAACTACATATAGGGAGGGGGAAAGAGAGAAAAGAGAGACCTGGATATCTCCATCGTGTACTGAAAGATGCCAAATTCTATCACCAAGGAGAACAAACATTTTCAAATGCTTAGGCTTGGGTGGCATGTCTGAGCATCTGTGCCAACTCATACATACATGCATATATATACACACACATTCCCTAAAAGTAAGAGTGTAAAATCTATGCTAAAATAAACAACTATGTATGAGCAGGATCTCGTAAAAGTAGTTGATCATATGTGTTCTTCAACTTTCTGTCGAACCTACTATCAACGAAAGTGATCCACCGTGAAAAACATGGTAACCACCATGTACTTAAGCTATATATAATCATTGAAGAACAAACTTTTACATCCAGCACAAAACAAACTATAATCGAAATTTCAACAAACCAAAATAACATGCAGATAAATAAATAGAAAAAAAAAAGAAGAAAAAAAAATAGTTGAAATTTCTTTTATGTCCAGCAATGGAACCATTAGAGATTGTGTAGAAACAATGCAGTAAACACCACCAGAGAATGGGGATAAACAGAATGGTAATACGCACATACCTATCAGGATGGTAAAACGAAAACAACTAAACAATGGAAATACGCACATACCTATTAGGATGGTAAAACGAAAACAACTAAACATGTAAATTCAAAGGTCACTCGGAACATGCTAAAAGTAAAAACTAAATTGCATAGCGATTGGCATCTAGATTTACCTTTAAAATGGCCTGTGATATGTCATTAATAAAAGCCCTGAAATCTTGGTTCACTCCGCTAAATTGGTAGGAGCTTTTGCTTAATCCATCAGAACCTTAAAACAAAACCTGTAATAGTATGATAAGCGATGAAGATCTGGTAAGTTTATTAGACATTGTTTCAAATACAAATTGAGACTCGTGGGAAAAAAAAGAGAAAGAATCAAATATCATATTATATTCTAACAATACTCTGAGATGGTATGAAGTCACCTCATCTAATTTTTTGACAAATGGGTGAGACTCGTTAAAGAAAGTCAATAATGGGTAGAATGTTTAAATCTATCTGATGAAAGAAGTGATAACGTTGTAGTTATTTTATCAGGAGGCGTTAAAACCATGAATCAAGAGGATTATAGACCAGGGATTTCAAATATTTCAATTATAAGAAAACTTGTTTGCAATACTGAGAAAAATCTTATTATTGTTGATAAAAAATGCACACGATACCAATGGATCATGCCATAAAAATTACACCATGAAAAATCCAGAGACCAAAATCCCCGTCGGCATAATTTATTCACATCAAATGACGCACAATCTTGGTTTAAAAAACCAATCAAATTTAAATTCTAATACCATACGATCAAATGTTAATCAAACACACAATCTCAAAAAGCCGAAACCATGTTAAGCAAAAGAAACAGAAGGAAAAGAGTGAAGATGTAAGCATTGATAAGAATATGAAAAGTGGCAGCACTGATATCATGCACAGATAGGACAATGAAATATCGGAACCAGCAACAACAAATAGAACCAAGAAGGAAAAGGATTGATAAAATAAATAAATAAGAAATTGGATAGAGGCACAAACCAACGACACGAGCTCAGTTTTATCACCAAGAATTTTGCATGGCCTGAAATCAAGAAAAGGACATGTTTACCGGGATTTTGAAGTGGATGCGCACAGTCCGAATGACAGTGATCATCCCTCTTTTGATGGTCCAGAATGGACCCGGGACACTTATACGAAATCCAAAAAGGCAGCATTATCTGGAAAGAACATGCGAAGCTTTTAACAACAACGAAGTAAATATACAGTTCCATAGATGCAAACAAAATAACACTATGGCATGATATTTGATTAAGATCCGTCTCTACCAGTTCGATGGCAAAAACACACCTCTCCCATGCGGGAATGAACCTAACCATTTAACCAAAAAAAGACGAAAACCCATGCGGGAATGAACCTAACCACACTGCATGCACTCACATACTCACATACACTGCATACACATACACTCACACACACCGAAGAATGAACGCATCATATTCAATTAGCACCATTCAACTTTAAAAGCAGTGAGACCTTCTAAAGGCACAGCCTAACTGGCCTCGGTTCAAATAACCCGCGCTAAAGCTAGGGCGTCACCCGTAAGTGGCGCGCTGTGTGGCCTGAGCACAGTGATAAGTGAGCAAGGGTCGCTGTATCTCCATCGGCACCCGGATGCAGTGTTAAATGAGCAAGGGGGCCATAGAAACTTCTTTTCGAACGACTCCACTCAAAGTTGTTTGGGAGCATATGCTCCTATCAACTTTACCCGGGACACACAAAAGAAGTACTTTGATCCTATTAGACGGGGGAGGGTGAAGAAGCTAGGACAGAAGGGTAGAGTTCAAGAGAGCAAAATGCGTTTAGGAACGTGGAATATAGGAACCTTAACGGGAAAATCTATGGAAGTAGTGGAAGTTATGGTGAGGAGAAGGATAAATATTATGTGCCTACAAGAAACTAAGTGGGTTGGTAGTAAGGCAAAGGATCTAGAAAACTCAGGGTTTAAACTTTGGTATTCGGGCACAAATAGAACGAGAAACGGTGTTGGCATCATCGTGGACAAGACCTTGGTACAAGATGTTGTAGATGTCAAGAGGGTAGGAGATAGAATCATGGCAATCAAGATTGTAATAGGACAAGAACTTATCAATGTGATTAGTGCGTACGCACCTCAAGTAGGGTTGGATACGAGTTCGAAGGAGAAATTTTGGGAAGATCTTGGAGACTTGGTGCAAGGAATTGCTCAGACGGAGAAGTTATTTATAGGAGGAGATTTAAATGGACACGTGGGCAGGGAGACAGGCAACTATGGAGGTTTTCATGGTGGCCATGGTTTTGGGGAGAGAAACGAGGATGGGGAAGCTATCTTGGATTTTGCAATGGCATATGATCTCTTCTTAGCCAACACCTTCTTTAAGAAGAGAGAAGAACATGTGATCACCTACAAGAGTGGGTCGTCAAAAACACAAATAGATTTTCTTCTAATGAGGAAAGGGGATCGTATAACTTGTAAGGATTGCAAAGTTATACCAGGAGAGAGCGTGGCTAATCAACATCGCTTGTTGGTGATGGATGTACATATCAAAAGAGTAAGACAAAAGAACAAGACTTGGAAGTGCCCAAGGACTAGATGGTGGAATCTAAAAGAAGAAAAACAAGCCATTTTCAAAGAGAAGGTAATCACCCAATGTGTGTGGGATAGAGAGGGGGAAGCTAGCCAAATGTGGGATTCCATGGCTAGTTGTATCCGAAAAGTAGCAAAAGAGGTATTAGGAGAGTCCAAGGGCTTTGCCCCACACCAAAAGGAATCTTGGTGGTGGAATGAGGAGGTACAAACAAAGGTGAAGGCTAAGAAGGAATGTTGTAAAGCCTTATACAAGGAGAGGACCGATGAAAATGGTGAAAGGTATAGAAAAGCGAAGCAAGAGGCGAAGAAAGCTGTCAGAGAAGCTAAGTTAGCGGCTTACGACGATATGTATAAACGACTAGATACCAAAGAAGGAGAGTTGGATATCTATAAACTATCTAGAGCAAGGGAAAAGAAGACAAGGGACCTAAACCAAGTGAGGTGCATCAAGGATGAGGATGGAAAGGTTCTTGCTACAGAGAACGCGGTTAAAGACAGATGGAGAGGTTATTTTCATAATCTTTTCAATGAAGGACATGAAATGAGTGCTTCTTTAGGGGAGTTGAGTAACTCAGAAGAGTGTAGAAACTACTCTTTTTATCGTCGAATCCGGAAGGAAGAAGTGGTTGTAGCTTTGAAGAAGATGAAGCATAAAAAAGCAATAGGCCCAGACGATATACCAATCGAAGTGTGGAAACTTTTGGGAGAGACAGGTATAACATGGCTCACTGACCTTTTCAATAGGATTTTGAAAACGAAGAAGATGCCAAATGAGTGGCGAACGAGCACTTTGGTGCCTATCTACAAGAATAAGGGCGACGTACAAAATTGCATGAACTATAGGGGTATTAAGCTAATGAGTCATACAATGAAGCTCTGGGAGAGAGTCATTGAGCATAGATTGAGGCAAGAGACACGGGTTTCGGACAACCAATTCGGGTTCATGCCAGGGCGCTCAACCATGGAGGCAATCTATCTCTTACGAAGATTGATGGAAAGATATAGAGATGGGAAAAAGGATTTACACATGGTCTTTATAGATTTGGAAAAAGCGTATGATAGGGTCCCAAGAGACATTCTTTGGAGGATTTTAGAGAAGAAAGGAGTACGAGTAGCATATATCCAAGCTATAAAGGATATGTATGAAGGAGCAAAGACTGCCGTAAGAACTCATGAAGGACAAACCGAAAGCTTTCCCATAACTGTAGGATTACATCAAGGCTCATCCTTAAGTCCTTACCTTTTTGCGTTGGTAATGGATGAGTTAACAGGACATATTCAAGATGATATTCCTTGGTGTATGCTTTTCGCAGACGATATAGTGTTGATAGATGAAACTCAGGAAGGGGTAAATGCAAAGCTTAACCTTTGGAGAGAAGTGTTGGAATCTAAAGGTCTTCGCCTAAGCCGATCAAAGACAGAATATATGGAGTGCAAGTTCAGTGCAAATGGAGGCCAAAACGAGTTAGGGGTGAGGATCGGAGATCAAGAAATACCAAAGAGCGACCGTTTTCGTTACCTAGGATCTATCTTGCAAAAGAACGGAGAATTAGATGGAGATCTCAACCATAGAATACAAGCTGGATGGATGAAGTGGAAGAGTGCATCCGGCGTGTTGTGTGTGACCGCCGTATGCCACTGAAGCTCAAGGGAAAATTTTATAGGACGGCAATAAGGCCGGCGATGCTGTATGGCACAGAATGTTGGGCGGTGAAACATCAACACGTACACAAAATGGGTGTAGCGGAGATGAGGATGCTTCGTTGGATGTGTGGGCACACGAGAAAGGATAAGATTAGGAATGAGGATATCCGGGGTAAAGTAGGAGTAGCCGAAATTGAAGGAAAGATGAGAGAAAAATCGGTTACGGTGGTTTGGACATGTGCAAAGAAGGCCTACTGACGCTCCGATTAGAAGATGCGACTATGGGACAGAGGTTCAGGGCCGAAGGGGTAGAGGAAGACCTAGGAAAACTTTGGAAGAGACTCTAAGAAAAGACTTAGAGTACTTGGATCTAACGAAGGACATGACACAGGATCGAGCACAATGGCGTTCTAAGATTCATATAGCCGATCCCACTCAGTGACTTGGATTTTCCAAGTCTCCAACCGAGAAGTTTTCCTCACTCGGGAAATTAAGGGAACACTACCCCAACCTACATGCTCCACTCAGAAAGCTTCAACATACAAGCTTCAACAAAAGAAAATTCAAAGAACTTAGCGAAGAAGGCTTTGGTGTATTTAACACAATACGTTGAAATGAAGGAAAGCTTATTTATTGATATCCCCGATAAGCTACAAATATGTACATATACATGAGTCAAAATAAACACACAAGAGGGAGCCTTCACAAAGGTTGCTTAGGAGAAGTCTCAGCAGTCGGTAGAGCCCCAGAAAGAGAAGGCACCGGAGGGGGATCATTTGGAGCCTCAGTACTGGACAGAACCCTAGAAGGAGGAGGCATCAGAGGTTGATCATTTGGAGCTTCATTACGCGGTACAGCCCCAGAAGACGAAGGCAATAAATGCCTTTGGAACAAACCCACAAATCTCTGATGATCAAGTAAAACCTGACCATCAGTTTCCTTCATCTGGTCAAGCTTCCTCTTCATGTTTGTAGCATAGTCATGTGCGAGCCGGTGCAACTGTTTATTCTCATGCTTGAGCCCTCTAATCTCCTGTTTGAGACTCATCACTTCAGCCGCCAATGATTCAACTTGGCGGGTTCGAGCAAATAGGCGTTGGGCCATATTAGACACAGAACCTGCACACTGAACACTGAGAGCCAGCGAATCCTTAACAGCTAACTCATCAGACCGTTTGGAAAGTAGTCTGTTATCTTTGGGAGTGAGAAGGTTCCTGGCCACCACCGCAGCGGTCATATCATTCTTCATCACGGAATCCCCAACGGTAAGAGGACCAGTAGGGGAGACGAAGGATGGGCGCCATATGTTGTCTGGAGAAGGCGGGGCTGCCTCTTCAACAAGGTTCAAGTCAAAACGACGGTCGGAGGGGCCAGACATTTTCAAAGGTGTTGAAGAGAGAAGAGGTCGGACAAATCAAGATCTTAGAAGTGCAAGAATGAAGCTTCTACTGGTGGAGATTCAAGTGTGCTTTGGAACTTAATGCCAGCCCCTATAAAAATCTGCACTCGACGGAAGCTTCAGAAATCGAAGAGGCGCCTGCTCAGAAATCGAAGAGGCGTTTGCTTTCTCAAAAGCTGGGCTGCTTAGAGATCACGAGGGTTGATCTCAGAAATCGAAGAGGCGTTTGCTTTCTCAAAAGTTGGGCTGCTCAAAGACCACGAAGGCCGATCTCAAAAATCGAAGAGGCGCTCGCTTTCTCAAAAGCTGGGCTCCCCAGAGACCACGAGGGCCGATCTCAGAAATCGAAGAGGCACCTACTTTTCCAGCCTTTTCCAGCCTTGTCAGCACCTGTCACACGCACACTCAGCTTTGCGGAAATTATGGGCATTCTGTCAAAGACTTCTGGGGAAGTAGAAAACACATGAATCTTACTGTTCAATCACCCACTTCCCACACGCAACAATAGCTCATGGGTACCACAGATAACTTTGCCAAAGTTCTCTGCCAAAGTTGAGCACGTGAAGCTTGCAGCTCCCACTACATCGCTCTGACCAAGAAGGGTAAAAGAATAGCAGCAAAGAAACAGCACTAACAAAGTTTAGACCCATAAATTTTGAAGGTCTAGCTACCATATTATTACCCACAAGGGTAAAGGAACAGTACCACTGCTGGATAATTGGAAAGTCCCTGTGTGTCAACCTCTGTGCTTCGTGGCAAGGTAGACTAGCAAACATGCCCAACCTTTACTCACATTCGAGAAAACACTCCCAATAAGATTGCTTGCTCCAAAATCGAAGAGGCACCGTCCTCCGAATCTCGAGAGCCAGACTCCCAACATGACTACTTTCTTAAAAATCGAAGAGAGGGTAAAGGAACAGTACCATTGCTGGATAATTGGAAAGTCCCTGTGTGTCAACCTCTGTGCTTCGTGGCAAGGTAGACTAGCAAACATGCCCAACCTTTACTCACATTCGAGAAAACACTCCCAACAAGATTGCTTGCTCCAAAATCGAAGAGGCACCGCCCTCCGAATCTCGAGAGCCAGACTCCCAACATGATTACTTTCTCAAAAATCGAAGAGACACTGCTCCCCGAATCTCGAGAGCCAGACCCCCAGCATGATTGCTTTCTCAAAAATCGATGAGGCATCGTTCTCCGAATCAATCGAAGAGGCGCTCGCTTTCTCAAAAGCTGGGCTGCTCAGAGACCACGAGGGCCGATCTCAGAAATCGAAGAGGCACCTACTTTTCTAGCCTTGTCAGCACCTGTCACACGCACACTCAGCTTTGCAGAAATTATGGGCATTCTGTCGAAGACTTCTGGTGAAGTAGAAAGCACATGAATCTTACTGTTCAATCACCCACTTCCCACACGCAACAATAGCTCATGGGTACCACAGATAACTTTGCCAAAGTTCTCTGCCAAAGTTGAGCACGTGAAGCTTGCAGCTCCCACTACATCGCTCTGACCAAGAAAGGTAAAAGAATAGCAAAGAAACAGCACTAACAAAGTTTAGACACATAAATTTTGAAGGTCTAGCTACCATATTATTACCCACAAGGGTAAAGGAACAGTACCACTGCTGGATAATTGGAAAGTCCCTGTGTGTCAACCTCTGTGCTTCGTGGCAAGGTAGACTAGCAAACATGCCCAACCTTTACTCACATTCGAGAAAACACTCCCAACAAGATTGCTTGCTCCAAAATCGAAGAGGCACCGTCCTCCGAATCTCGAGAGCCAGACTCCCAACATGACTACTTTCTCAAAATCGAAGAGAGGGTAAAGGAACAGTACCATTGCTGGATAATTGGAAAGTCCCTGTGTGTCAACCTTTGTGCTTCGTGGCAAGGTAGACTAGCAAACATGCCCAACCTTTACTCACATTCGAGACAACACTCCCAACAAGATTGCTTGCTCCAAAATCGAAGAGGCACCGCCCTCCGAATCTCGAGAGCCAGACTCCCAACATGATTACTTCCTCAAAAATCGAAGAGACACTGCTCTCCGAATCTCGAGAGTCAGACCCCCAGCATGATTGCTTTCTCAAAAATCGAAGAGGCATCGTTCTCCGAATCTCGAGAGCCAGATACCACAGACCACTTTTTCAAAGTGCTCTGACAGAGTTAAAACATGTGAAACTGGCAGCTCCCACTACCGTGCTATGACCAAGCAGGGTAAAGGAATAGCATTACTACTTGTTGTTAGGGAGACTCCTATATATGTCGACCTCCATCCCCAACGGACAGGCAGACCTGCAAAAATGCTCAACCCTTCATCATATCTGAGAGGGCACTCCCAACGAAGCCTTTCGAAATATTCAGCTTTCTTTCCCCCCGATAATACCTCTGCAAACAAGCTATACTAGAGCAAGAATATCTCATATCATCAGGGTTAAAAGCAAGAGTATCCCATATCATGCTTTTTCCCTGTCTTTTCTTTTGGCCTTGTTTTTACCTGCAAGACAAGGAGAAAGAGAGCAATCAGTCAGCACTTGGAATCAAGCTTCCAGCCAGGAACTGACTGCCTGGAACCCCTTACCTGATTACTTACCTGGCATTGCTCTCGAGTACTCATCTTCAACATCTTATGTTTCCAGGGAAGATTCCGCATCTGCTTGAGGAACAGATAGGGCAAGTGCGAAGGATACAAGGAAGCATGTGGAGACAAGCGTAACAGCACACGTGCCGATACATCCATTACTCTGTCAAAAGCAAAAGTATCCCATATCAGCAGGGTGGAACGTACTCTAGATTTGATGGACTTGTTTTGACCCTCAAATTCTTCAGTCGGCCTTATACTCTGGAGGAAACCAGAAAACCCTCCAGCTCAGTTCAAGAATAAGCCTGTGGAAAGTTACTTCTTCAAAAGCAAAAGTATCTCATATCATCTCTTCTCATTTTTCTTCTCTTTATCCTTCATGCTGCTGCAAGATGGGGAGAAGGTGAACAATCAGTCGGAGCTCTGATTGCTTACCTTGTCTGTCACCTCTTTCAGCAGACCCCCTAGCTCGGCGACTTGGGGGACTCCTACTACATGGTTTGTATCGCGCTTGACCAAGCCTGAAACTACAAGTAAGCTTCAAGTGAAATTGATACATTACCTTGTGCATCTCCACCAGTTAAAGATACCACCCCTGGATGGAGGAAGAGTACTTCCAGAGAAGATGCCACATCTACCTATGAGACAGATAAGGCAAGTCAAGACGACACCACACTCCGATACTTAGAAGTTTCGTGATTACGAGATCATTCTCCCACAATATTTCCTAATGTCATTTGTACTAAATCATTCACTTGTACTCACTAAAGGAGAGCTTGAACCTATGTACTTGTGTAAACCCTTCACAATTAATGAGAACTCTTCTATTCCGTGGACGTAGCCAATCTGGGTGAACCACGTACATCTTGTGTTTGCTTTCCTATCTCTATCCATTTATATACTTATCCACACTAATGACCGGAGCAATCTAGCGAAGATCACAAAAAGCGACCGTTTTCGCTACCTAGGATCTATCTTGCAAGAGAACGGAGAATTAGATGGAGATCTCAACCATAGAATACGAGCTGGATGGAAAGAGTGCATCCGGCGTGTTGTGTGACCGTCGTAGGCCACTGAAGCTCAAGGGAAAATTTTATAGGACGGCAATAAGGCCAGCGATGTTGTATGGCACAGAATGTTGGGTGGTGAAGCATCAACACGTACACAAAATGGGTGTAGCGGAGATGAGGATGCTTCGTGGGATGTGTGGGCACACGAGAAAGGATAAGATTGGGAATGAGGATATCCGAGGTAAAGTAGGAGTAGCCGAAATTGTAGGAAAGATGAGAGAAAATCGGCTCCGGTGATTTTGAACATGTGCAAAGAAGGCCGACTGACGCTCCGGTTCGAAGATGTGACTACGGGACAGAGGTTCAGGGCCGAAGGGGTAGAGGAAGACCTAGGACAACTTTGGAAGAGACTCTAAGAAAAGACTTAGAGTACTTGGATCTAACGGAGGACATGACACAAAACCGAGCGCAATGGCGTTCTAGGATTCATATAGCCGACCCCACTTAGTGGGAAAAGGCTTTGTTGTTGTTGTTGTTGTACATAGGGAAAAAAAAAGAAAAAAAACACAAAGACAAAACAATCCTATAACCACAACTGAAAAACAAAATCAAAATGAATAGAATAAAATATCAGTAGAGCATGAACACTAACTAACTGTTAAACTGTCCCACATCGGTGGGGTGAAGAAAACCAAAGGGGTTTAAATAGTATTACCCCACTCTAACTAATACCGAGGCCTTTTGTGGTAAAACCCCACACCTGAGGATTGTGCAGGTGGTTAAGTGGGGACAGTATCGGTGTCGTTAGAGTGGGGCGGGCCCAGCGATCCAAAAATTCTAACATGGTATCAGAGCCCACGGTTGTGGGCCCGTGCAAGCCAACGAGCTTGTCACCACTCGGAAGGAAACAAGTCTGAGCTCTTAATATAGAGACGACCGCTGAGTTCCAATTGAAAACAAGTGGGCCCAACGTCAGCCGACCTCTGAGTTTCAATCACCGATGTGGATCTCCACGTGTGAACCACTAAATGAGGTTACACGTGAGGGGGAGTGTTAAACTGTCCCACATCGGTGGGGTGAAGAAAACCAAAGGGGTTTAAATAGTATTACCCCACTCTAACTAATACCGAGGCCTTTTGTGGTAAAACCCCACACCTGAGGATTGTGCAGGTGGTTAAGTGGGGACAGTATCGGTGTCGTTAGAGTGGGGCGGGCCCAGCGATCCAAAAATTCCAATACTAACATCCTTTGGAAACATGTGCTAGTTACGTATAATATATATGCGCACAAATTAAGAAAATGACTTGAGTGCTCTAGCAGTGGTCTTTACGCTGAACCAAATCACTATTAGGTTAATTGTATTGATTCACGCATCTTTTTTTATGTGCTAAATCTCTACAAAATTGCACTACGAAAATGACATAAAACTAATTAAATTCCCAATATATCTGAGAAATACAACTTCTAAAAGTGTGAGAATACATGCAGCACTAGGATGTTGCAGAACTCACTGCCCCAATTTAAGATTCGGTTTTTGTCCAATGTATGTAGATGCTTAGATACATCTGAGAATTTGCTTTGCAACAGTTGCTACTCTCATCGTCTTTTGAGAGAGATAGATAAAAAAAAAAAAAAAAAAGAGGTCGTACCCAGTGCACAAGGCTCCCGCTTTACGCAAGGTCTGGGAGAGGTGAATGTCGGCTAGCCTTACCCCCATTTATGGAGAGGCTGCTCCCAATTGAGAGAGATAGATACAAGGGTAAAAATTACAATGGGGAATAGTAAAGAATCCCTCTAAAATACTAAAGAAAAACATACCTAGAATGAAGTAAACTACTGTTTGTCTCCATAGCAGTTTCTCAGAGCATTTATGCTGTCAGAAAGTAGTGCTCCACTCCAGAAGGATGGACAAATGTACCAGATGGAGACTAACCCAAAGAAAACATAATTAAAAGTTAGCATCTGATGAACAATTAAGGTGATGCAAAAGGGCAACACATGATGTGAAATTATTATACCAAAATATCCAAGGTCTGTTAATCTAATCACCCAATAAAATAAAACAGAAATTAAGCACAACAATATCAAAATTAAAAGGAAGGAATAATATGAAACTTTGTGCATAGAACGTTCGTGAGAATGAATCACACAACAATCAAGGGTGGACAAATCACAAAAGTGACAATTAAAGGGCACCTAACGGACATCCCCCATCTCCCTCTCTCTCTCTGCAATTGCAGAAATCCCTCGGGTTGGAGGAAGAAAATGGAAAACGAAATGCTTTTCCAATCCCCTACCCATACCCATACCTCCTTTACCCATTCCCTCTACCCTCGCAGAAAATCCTCCCATCTCTCTCTCTCACCTTTGTCCCATCTCTCTCTCTGCAAATCGCAGAAAAGAAACCCTAAACAAATCCCTGAAATCCCTTGCCTAAATCCTCCCACATTTCTCTCGGACACCCCCTATCTCTCTCTCTCTCTCTGTGTGCAAAACCTAAACCAGATCTCCTAAATCCTATCTCAGACACCCCACATATAGCAAAGAAGCCAAGATATTAAAGCAATCTCTACATAATACTTTGGAACAATGAAGCAAAATGGTACTTACTTGTTCCTTGTCCAAAACCGTTGGTGCCGTGCCGCTGCACATTGGTATCAATTGTGGGTTTATCAAATCCTTCATGGCTTAGACTGCATGAAGAATTAGAAACTAAAAGATGAATATATGATGTAAATCATCATATAAATGTAACTGTATTTAAAAAAAAAAAAGAAAAAAAGAAGGGAATGAAAATTTTGAATTCTATTTCATCAGTATGTAACTATATGAAAAGTTACATTGAATGTAGACTCAATTAATTTCCCCAAAGTCATTGTTAACTGAAAATCAATACCATACCCATAAATACCAACATTGAATTTGGCAAAACCCAAAAACGAAATACAAAAATTTACTCATATAATCACAGAAAAACATGAAATTTGAGCACCCATTTGGTCAAGTAAAAGGATAAAGGCACTCACATCATCATAGTACTCTTTGGGAAGATATTCTAATACTGGTTCTTCCTTCTTCTTGCTCTTCCTCATAACTACCATAAAAAAACCCACAGAAGCACACAAATTCAGAAAAGAAAAGGTCCAAAACTACCATAAAAAATCCAGAAAGCATACAAATTTATCAGAAAGAAAAGTTCAAATTACAAAAACCAACTGATGTGAGTGAGAAGTGAGAGGTTGTGTTAGGCACCTGAAACACGTTTTAGTTTCAATTGAGAGGGCCAGAGCCTTGCATGCGAGGAAGATGACGATAAGATTCCAGAGACAGAGAAAGGAGGAATAAGACGACGGAGGCGAGAGAAGGGAGACAGCGGCGAGAGGAGGATAGGACAGAGGCAAGACCGTCTGTGGTGCAACAAACAGTGGGTTTCACAGCTATTAATTAAAATACGCAACATGAAAGCCTGTTTGATCATTGTGCCAGAGTTTCTGCTTGTCTGCAAAATTGGCAAAATTGGCACACAGCTTCACAACTTGTCGTCTTTCCTTTATCAATGGCTCCTTTAAATATCCAAATGATCAAGGTTGATCTTGCTCGCATAATACTTGATGAGCTCCTTTTGGTAATCCACCTAAAACAAATAAGCACAATATCTATGTAAACTGGCATTTCACTCAATTATACATTAGTTATGGCATCTTTGGAACTAAATGACTTCAACCTTAATATCCTATAAGCAGTATGTTTCTATATTTTAAATCCTGTTATAATAACAGGTAAATATAGATGATACAAAAGTAATTTAGTTCCATCATGCATAAAGGTGCAACCTCCAACCTGAGCTTCACATATTTTTCTTTTAATTTTAATGAGTAAAACTCTATTCCTGTTATCACCAACATCTCACAGAGCGAAGCAACATATTGGAAATGCGTATCCGATTAACAGCCCTTTCATTCGAGTAATTAAATAAATCCATAACACGGATTAGAAAAATAGGCAAATAACCGAAAAACCTGTCATTTACTTGCAAAACTCCTGCCTAACCCCAGTCTTTGCAATTAAATATAAACTAACACTTCCTCAGTGTGCTTTCTTTGTATAAAAATATACACTATCATTTAAAACCTGAAATGTAGAATTTGATGCCAAGAACAAATCCTCAGCATCCATGCTATACAATATAATAACTAATGAACTTACTATTGTGTTGGAAAACACAAACTCTAGCTCCAGATCCTCTGCGCCATTGACAATGGAGTTGTGGTTCAAAGAAATCACTAACAATCAAGCCTCCCTGTAAAGTCAAATGGCACATATTCAGATAAGGAATGTAAACACAAAATTAGAAGTCATACATTTGAGAAAAGATGCAAACCTTCCCCATCAGAACAGGAAGGATAGCAGAGTTTGTGACATAACCTATTCCGAAAACTACAGCAGCAGGTTTCCCAACAAAATTTACAACACTCTTCCAGTTCATTATGCAAATCCGTGGTGCCTGGTGATAGAAGCGTATCATGGTAAATTCATTTAGAAAAATAGTTGAAACAAATTTTCCTTGTAAAGTAGTATTAGTAAACCAACCCCCATCAACTCGGCTACTACAGGAACTGGGAGAATATTTTTTCAACGTCTCAATAGCGCGAGGTGTGCAGTACTCATCAGATGCAGCAAAGCCAAGGTAATTGTAAGATCCCAAGTTAAGGCATCTACTGGTTTTTTTGGTTAGCCTGCATCAGCCGAGTTACACAATGAGAATATAAATCAAGAAAACATAACAAAAGGCGTGAAATATACATGAAATTGCAAAATCGGAGGAAATTTGAATCGTTACTTGAGTGTTTTGTTGTAGTCATTGGAGTAGCATTCAACCACATCAAACCAAGCATCAAGAGCACTTGCAATAAGCCTATTGAAACATCCTGACCAGTCAAAACTTTAAAAAATTAACCAGAGTTATCAATAATTATGTTTATGGGACTCCATGGAATTCAAGCTTAATTGCAGGGCTTAATTGCAGGGCCAGCTGCATCCATTTCATACAGCTCAAGAAATATAACACAATCAAATCAATAACAAAATACCTGAATTCGAAGATAAAGCCGGCGAACATAGAAATCTTCAAGTCCTAAACAAATTGGAGCATAACCCTGAATTCTGCTACAAAGCAATGCTTTTTTTACACAAAATTACAGGAAAAACTAAACAATAGAAAGAAATTATGTACAATGATTACGGAACCTGCAAATTGCTAGCACTCCTCCAATCAATGATTTTGCGGAAGAAATCTCTGACTTGGCCAAAAACGAAGAGCAATCCATAGCATATAAGTACGTGGTTAACGCGGTTAAATAAGGGATCGCAATCATTTTTGCGGTGGGACGATTGTATGATCCGAAAGCTGGAGGATTTGGGAATTATTGTCTCCGCCACATTATCCTGCAATGAAAATAACAATTGTAACAAAAATCAGATATTTGGATCGAAGGTAAGATTCTAGCATTTTCTCCGTGTCACAATCATGCATAGCTTTTACCTCAATCGAATCAAATCCAACACCAACCCATCACAACCCGATGATCACTTAGAACACTGAACGCAAAAATCAACAAAATTTCACCATTTTAAATTATAATTGGTTTCATATTCTTTAACCCACTAAAAAAAGGAAAAAATTAAAATTAAATTAAAAGTAAACCTGGTGATCGTGGGTGCCGCCGCCAATGAGGAGGTCGAAGGGATTGATTTTAGCTGTCTTCTTTTCCTTGCGAATCGGATTCTATTATGTGTAGGTCTTCTTCTCTTTGTTCAGCATTCGCCTGAGGAGAGGGGAAATGGTTCAGACCAAGGTGTCTCCATTGCTGCGACCCTGTCCATTGAACTTGCTGCAGTTGCTTTTAAGCTTCTCTCCTCTCTGCAAGTCGCATGCCTTCCCCTCACCAAACCCCTCTCTCTCCCCCTCCCCCTCCCCCTCCCCCTCCCTCCCCTCTCTCTCCTCCTCTCTGCAAGCAGCATGCCTTCCCACCAAATCCCACACCACACTGAGCCATCGATCCCACCGAATGCAACCCTAACTGACAACAATGCCCACCCAACATTTACCCCCAACCGTGCAATGTTAACCCTAGACAGGAATTCCCGTCATTCGAACCGATGGCACCGTCGTTAAAAGCTAAAAGCATCCGAGTGGCAATCTTGTAAATAAATTGAAATGTGGGCCAAAACACTGTTCATATGAGTGGCAATTTCCCCTCCTACTTTAGACTAGAGTAATGGTACTTCGAAATTTTTACCAAGAACTTTTGGAATATGTTTTATTCCTCGACTTTAGGGGAAAATGGTGCTGTTATATGTTAAAATCTCTGCATCCGCTTTCCGGTTTCGGATTTCATTCATTTCTTATTGAAAGCATGCATGTTTCTTATATAAAACAAATAATAAAAACCATCAATACTGCTTATTTTGGTCTGCAGAAGCCTACTTTCGACATAGGGGGCACCAACTTAGATCCACACTTTCCTCCTTCTCCGTTGGCAGGCTGTCTCGTTTTCTTTATTCAGATACCAGCTTGATGCTTGCGTAGATACTTTATGCTCTTGTGGTTCTGATCATAAAATCGTAGCTGACAAATGGAAAGATGTGTGCAGTTAAATCTTTTGAGGTGTGTTTTCTGATGTTTCTTTTCGTTTCATTCTTTTTATTTATCTCCAACATAAACTTGTTGATGAGATAGAAAGTGAGTGGGGAGGGAGGGGAGAAAAAGAAGAAATGTTTTTAAAAGTTTGGAGAATCGAAGTTGCAGATATATTGATGCATTATTCAGCTGTTCTGTATTCTTTTTATCATTTCTCGGTTGCGTGAATCAGCATTAGTTATCAAGACTTGTGTAAAATCAATCAGAAGTATCTGTTAATACAATGTGCCAGGACATACTCATTTATGGCCCTTGTGGATGCAGCAGCGAGCTAATTGTGGTGTGGAACTGTAAAGTAGAATTACCCAAGGGAACAGATGCTGGCTTGCATCAATTACTGGGCCTGTCTGGCAAGAGTAAACAGTTGTGGCATGCTTTTCTAGTTTTCTTCCGATGTCCTAATGATCTTCACGCTGGTGCAAGAGATACATCATGCAGGTAACACGTGGACGATGTTTTTTTTTTTTTTTTTTATCATTTTGATTTCGTTTGAATATGGTGGCTTTTATGTTGGTGCAGATGAGTTTCTTTACAAACACAAATGCGTAATTCACTTATATACGTGCTGCACTGACTTATTTGGTTTGAAACTTAGGAGGCAATTGTCTGAGGCAACAGATGTTAGCTCACATCAATTTCCTAAGCATTTTTGGCATGAAGATGATGCACCTCTAAAGGAAGATGATGGAACCCGGGGATGATATATTTCTTTGTCATACTGGCGTGGTTTGAATACGGTGGCCTGCTATCCCATTTTCTTTCAATGCCATTATCATCTTCAAGTTGGTGTATCTATGCTTTTCTTTATGAATGTGAACTGGTAATAGATCTTTAGTTGAATACTGCAGATGAGCTTTAATTTACATTCTCTCTTACCATGGAACATCTTATGCAAAGGATATGATGCTTCGTTTTAACAAATGTTAACTGAATATACATTTCAGTTTGTCCCTCACAATATCCTGTTTTATGTAGTTTGCATCATTTAAAAAAAAAATTTCATGTTAAAATAATTTATGAATCTTATACTTCTTAGAGAGAATTAATTTACGAAGCAACAATAATTAGATGTATTTAAAACCGTAATAGTTAGTTTTATTCATTCTTTATCATCAATCTGTCCATTGATTTTTACTTTCATCTCTTTATTTAGGAGTTTGTTGAGCTGATATGTAGGTAAAGCAAAAGCATCCGAGATGACATCCATGTTGAATAGCTATCACAAGAAGCAGGCATTTCAAAATTTCATATGTAGTAGGAGTGTGAGAAAACAGATGGAGGTAATCCTCTTTGTATCCTTTTCCCCTGCCTCTGTTTCTGGAGGACTCTAAATGTTGATTTTTCCAGTTGGAACTGCAGTTTATTGTTACTATATTGCTTATTTTGAACTACAGAAGCCTAACATGGGTGGCACAAACTTGCATGTGTACTTCCCTCCTTCCGCATTGGTAGGTTGTCTCATTTTCTTTATCCCGGGACCATCTTAAAGCTTGCATAGATACGTTATATGCTCATGTACATCTGGCCATAAATAAATTCGCAGCAACAATGGAAAGCCGCATGTAATTAGATCTTTTAGCAGAAGAGTGGAGGTGTGCTTTTTGACGTTTCTCTTCCTTTTGTTATTTTTCTTCATCATCAACATAACAAGAGAGAGGGTGGGTGGGGAGGGGTAGCGAACAAGGAAAAAAATGAAAAGTTGTGAGAATCAAACTTCATATGGTTGAATGTTCTCCATTTTTTTCTTTTTAAAAGTCCTTAAAACTAATAGGCACTGTGATCCTTTCGTCCACCACAAGGTAGAAAGGCTTGCCTAAAGGTGACTAGAAGTAGCACAGCTGCACAGACCCGACATTTTTACAACGCAGGGTTGCTTCCACATCCTCCACTTATCCAAATTCCAACAACATAAGCCGGTCATAAAATGGAGCATCCGGTTTTGCAGGCAAGGACATAGGAAAAACCCTGAAACGATTTAAGCACTTGTGATCTGTCCAAGCTACATGGAAGCAGTGGACGGAAAAGGACTTTGACACCTCACTTATCTTCAAGAGCTACGAATTGAAGGCTGCCCAATTATGGAATTTCTGCCAGGTGAGGGACTACTTCAACACCTCGTTTCTCTTCAAAAGCTATATATTTGGGGGTTTGACAGCCTTCAATGCCTTCCAGAAGAGGGTTTGCCGCCATCTGTTTCTTTCCTGAAATCCATCGATGTTCTGCCCTAGAGAAAAGTTGTGAGAAGAAAGACGTGTGGGAGAAGATTGAGCCAAGATATCTCGCATTCCTTGCATATGGATAGGCAGAGACCTGATCATATGAGCGCTCTATCGTTCAGAAATACTTTTTCTGACATTCGGCTCTCAACTCTCAAACCGAAGTCAGGTATATTTTGCATCAAATTAACTTTCATAGTTACACAAATATAAATATAAAGAAAAATAAATAAATATAAGAAACATAGGTTGCATATTGTTCAAATACTTTGCAGATCATCGTATAGGCAGACATTAGACTTAAAATCTGAATTATTAGTTTTAAATTCTGAATTATTAGTTTTCTTGCAGGAAACAAGGGCTTCTCTTGGAAAGCTTTCCGTATGCAAGCCTCCCAAATTTGCCAATCACTGCCAGAGGAGAGGAGGGTTAATTGACCACTGTATATACATTTCGTTTTTCTACTAGAACAATCGTCGAAGTAGGAGATCGGGAAAGGTTTAATCCGGCATAGTAAGCATCAAATGCACAATAATATTAACAAAATGTATGAGTTTCAAAAATTACAAGCTTTGTTTACTCTTGTGTTTTTTGTGAAGTCTTGTTTGTTCGGAATATTTTGTATTTCATTCTTGTAAAATGATACCGTGGTTTAAGTTTTCTGTTGTAATCTTTGTAATGTGATTCAAAACATCAAATTTCGGAATATTTCATGTATGCATTTAAAAAATCAATGGACAATACAGTTTCATACTCTCTTTCTTTGCTAGCTTGTGGTTGCAGCTTTCGGCTCATACGTTTCGAGGATCTCCTCAGTCCCATTATTGTTGATGTCGCATCTGAGTGACACTGAAAAGCATATACCCATATACATGATATCCTATTGAGACATCATTTCCAGAATATTACTCGTCATATTCCATCTGTATCGTTAATCTCATAGAAGATTGTCACATATATACATTATTTGGAATATTCGTTGTCGCCTCTGTCATTGATAAAGGCAACTCCATTGTCACCCTCACTTCCAATGCTCTTTTGATGATGCTGCAATACCAACTCAAGCCCTCTCACAACATCATTCATCGACAGTCGTTCGATTCCTTTATCATTTAAGCAACTTATAGCAATCTCAATGAACTTATTCAAGCACTCAACTTCAATCTTACCCTTCACATTTGGGACAATGATTTGACCAAGTGTCCCATCTCCATGACAACTCTTGGCCCACTCAGCGAGGCTGATTTGCCTAGCCACCACCGTATGCATCAAAGATGGCCTCGCACACAATACTTCCCACAAAACCACCCCAAATGAGTACACATCAGACTTCTCAGTCAACTGTTGATGTTTGTAGTACTCCGGGTCCAAATGCCCAAAACTACCTTTCACCACTTGCTGATGTGCGTTTTGGATGTGCTAGTCGTGCCCATTTTTGACAACCCGAAATCCGAAGTCGGTACGCAGAAGGAGAGTACAACTCAAAAGTTGGTATGCAGAAGGAGAGTACCACTTTTTACACTTGCACTCGTGCGACTGTGTTTAGTTTTCCTAGAGAATAAGTGGGCTTAGTAGCATACTTATATGATGATTAAGTAATGGGCTTTTTGTTAAAAGTTGGACTTGGGATTGAAGTTCATGGATATTTTAGAAGTGTTTCCCACCAATGCACTTTGATTGGTCCACTTTGTTCAATGTGTTAAGGACATGGATTATGTGTCTTCTTAAGTTGGCATGGGCTTCCCTATCCAAACAAACAACTTGGGTTCTTATTATTTTTTAGTTTATTTCAAACCATGACCAACATTTTTTAGTTGAGTAAATGCTAAATAGATCAAATATGTAGATTAAATTTGTGGGTTATATGATGTGTCATCAGTATGAAATAAATACATTAATCAATACTTAAGTAATAATTCAATCATCAACAACCCCATTATCTGGTTTACAAAATTTATTTTGAAAAGTTGATCTCCCTAGCATTAAGTGAGGCTATTCTATATGGAAAATCAATCATATAGGGTGAGATCAAGTGCAGCCCAAATGCAAGGCTTCTTAATTGCGTTTTTGTAAAGAGTTGTCAAATAGGGCAGCCTCACTCAACATACTCTCATTAGAGCAACTCCAGCGTGGGAGCCCTCCCCCCAGACTATTCAATATTCAATCCACCCTGTGAACAGTAACTGCCCTTAATGAACAGTAACTGTCTTTTGCATCTCCACCATTGCACTTGAATAGCCCTGGCAATAGGCAATAAAAAAAATATATATATTTTTAAAATAATATAGAATAATTTTTTATTTGTAATTTCGGATAAGATTTTTAATCGTTCTCGTTACGCCACGTGTCATTATCCGAAAAGACAATTAGTCATTATGTTGAAAAAAATTGGATTGAAAATTTGA